TTGTCAATAATATGAAAACAAGTTTTACAATTACGTGGCTAAGCCCCCAAGATTTTGTAGACAGTATATTGTGAGGAAGTTTTGCTTCCTGGACTAGCTTCAGATCACTTTTTCTTAAAAAATTTAAGTGTAGTATATGAATTCTTTGAAAATGTTAACCAGATAAATTTATCTGCTCAAAAGTAGAGGAATGTTGAAGACAAGAGCACTAAATTTTCACTTACTTCACCCAGTACAGTTGCCTCCTAAAACTAAAGTGTAAGGGGGTAGCTACAGTAGTGCTAGCAGCAGTTGACATGCTTACTCTCACTCAGGATCAGACTCATTTCAGCACTGCTTCTTGCTCCACCAAGAAACATTTAAACAATCCATCTCAGTATTCTAGCTTGACACTGCTTATTTGGATTTAGTCTATCATACATTCTAACCATCATTGTAAGGCAAAGACCAAAGTTTGCAAAATTTGTTGGAAGGTTGGAAATACCAATGATAGGAATTGCTCCACCACACTTCGACAAATATGGACTCTTCATGCTCACTTTTACAAAGTGTCATCAGTGTATTCAGTAATTCTAGTCCATCTTTCATTGACTGTACAGTTTGTCAGCCCTTTGAAAAGGACAATCCTTCCTACAAATGTCCACCTTGCTAGTATGACAAAGAGCAGGAACTATTCAATTACATAGATAGAAATCAAAGGGCTAGAGATGTATTATACATATAGATAAACATATTTATAATAGATATTAAATATTAACTTAAAGATCTTTTTCATTTATTACTGACAATTGAAAAACCAGATCATGACCTCTGTATCAGAAATATTACACTGTGATTATGGACCAGTAAAATATTTCAAGTTCCACATCTCAAAAAGAACTTCTAATTCATTCATAGTATGACTAATAAAATTAATGAAAAAAATAGACATAAATCTGCATTGTTATTTCTACACTATTTCCAGTAATAAATGGCAAGAAATACTCTGAACAAAGGCAAAATCTTGTTAAATATGTACTGCAATTTTTATTATATTCATCATGAAGTCAGAATTTATCCCATTGTTAAGGTAAAAACAAAAAAGGATAACGTTAATGTAATGTAAAAATTAAAATTTGAAATAGAGGATGTTATTTTGTAAATGGAATTTTACTTGGAAGCCTTTTAGTTGCTATCTCACAGATTTATTTTTTGCTGTATTTTTACACTAGAGTCTCTTACAAAAAGCAACCAGTAGGTGGAGCAGACAACATGATTTAACACCTGCAAACTGGTTTGGTTTTTTTCCATAATTATGGCAATCACACAGGAGAAATTTTCTTCAAAGGAAGCTAATGTGTGTTAGATATCACTTGACTAGTTATTGAAACTACTGACATAGGTTAAAAGCTCAGGCATTTCATAACCATGAAGCTTTAGAGCTCAAATTTTATTTTTCCAGACATTACTTGGCAACTAACTTAGCTTAAATCAAACAAAATTTGCTTTCTTTTTTCAAGCCAACTCTTACCTGCAAAGAGTATTAAATTTGTATTGCATAGATACTTCTGGTACTATAGATAGAAAAGAAAGAAAGAAAAAGTTGCTGTTTTTCAGAAAAGCCAAAAAACATTTTTCTGTGATGAAGTTGGCAGGATATATATATATACATTTTTTCCTTTGTTCATCTTCCTTAAACTTCTTTGCTAAAACAATTCTTTAATCCAAATAAATGGCTTATGTCTATTAAAATGTTTGTGTCAATGTATTTGTACACGTAGCAATGGGAAAGAGTTGTGTTTTGTTAGATTTTCATGTCAAAATACACTCCATTAATTGTTTGCAAAACATAAAGTGTAAAACATAGTATAATAGCATACAGGTTTTACAATCCAACTATTTCCCTGAATGTCACTGTTTCATGTTAATGGAAATCAGTATGCCAAAGGAAAAAAAGAAAAAAAAAGATGTAATGCAGATTTAAATGTAGGCATGCCTTTTCAATATTTTTAGGTAGATCAAACTTCCTGCCTGAGACTGAAGTGTTCACACACTTATTCTGCTCATATTTTGAGCTCACTAGAAGCTGTGTAATTGTATTAATTCTACAGCTAATATACCATGGCTCTCAACAAGGCTAATTAGTTTAGGTTCAGCCCCATATTATAACTCTAGATTGGCTTGGAAGGCAACCAAAGCAAGCTCAGAGCTGTCTATATAAGGCTATGTGTATATAACTGCTCCCAACAAAAACAAATAATGTATAGTGATTCAGAATTTAATCTCCATTTCTTTCCCTTTTCTTTTTTCCTTTATAAAGGAAACAGTTTTTATGAAAGAAATAAATGCTTGAATAGAAAGTTAACACCAGAAAAAAAGAAGTTTACTTTATCAAAAGCCATGATTTTATAAAAACATACTAGAAAACCCTATATATTTACAATACCAGCATTTGTAAGATTTACTTTTTGAAATGTGAAATAATGCTACCAATTAAAAATTGGCACAGCCTTGTATACATGTATATAGTTTTAATCAGTGCGATAAGATTATATCTGTGAAATGCAAATTCTGAATTCAATACAGGATTAACAGTCTTTAAAGGCACAAGGGATTACTGTACTATCTGCTACACTGTGTAGCTACATGCTTGGTTATTTCCCTGTTTAACCTGTAACATATTTCTGAGATAGTTTTGTGGGCTTTGGCTTGTAGAAAGAGGAACTTGACATCTCTTTCTTTCTGACAATTCCTTTCTGACAGTAAGTAAGCACACCTTTTTCCATGCTTGCAATAAAACAAAAAGATTCACAATATATAGGATATATTAGACACTATTATTGCAGGTACATATTTTGTAATGCTGTCCATATAACTCACTTGAGTATCTGCAGCCTTGATCCCTTATGTGGCTTAGCTCCACCACTAAAAAAACTTTAGCAGATCATCTGTACTCACTGGGCTTTAGTTAACACACGACTTTAAAAGAAATCCATTTTATCAGCCTCCTCTTTTCATTTGCTATGTCCCCAGCTTACAAAAGAAATCATTTCCTTCACTCACTCAAAAGTGTTGATTTTTTGCTGCCTGGTTATACTAAGACAATGAACAGACCTTACTCAGAGTTAACTGTCCTTTGAAGACAGCAAGCAGAACTTGTAGTCAGGTCAGAAGAGCAAGGATATTCAGAGCAAATTGCCAGGCACAAAGCATAAAAACAGTAAATTCTGAAGCAAAATCATTTGCTCTGCATCTTATGAAGATATTAAGTTTTATGATTATGAGGAATACACAGCTTGATGACAATAAATTGATGGTTGCTGTTTTAAAGGTGTTTGATTTACATTCATTCATATTTCAAAATACTACCTTAGAAAGACAGTTCTTGAAGCAAAGTTCTGTGATAAAGGAAAAATTCTGTAGACTGAGTCACTGTATACACAAGTTATCTTTGCAAGCAAAATCAAGTATATTTTTGTTCTGAAAGATTCTGAAAATGAATTCTATGTAGTTCTGTAAAATCATAACCCAAATTCATTGGATCATAATAATTACTGCAGCCCACTACCAGAAGTCCTCCAGGTGCATGGCTGAAATTAGGCCCCTCTTGCCATTCCTTAAATAAGTGTCAATAAGTTTGCTAAGACAGTATTATCAAAAGTGAACTAAGTTTACTAAAATCTTTTTACACAGCAAGCCTCTTAATTCTCAATAAAAATCCAATTTTTTGCTCCAGGTAAATGCATTAATGTCTATCTATTTGTTTTACATAAGTTTCTCCAACACAAACATAGTATAAAGCAAAAGAAAAACAATGCACAGCTAATCGTTAATATTCTGGTTTTACATCTGGAGAAACTAATTACTGTGAATTAATTTTAGTTACTAACTCCCTCAGAAACAAAGTCATTCAGAATTTTTCTGCTGTTACTAAACAGCACTTTTATGTGGCTATTTTTTTTTTTTTTTTTCAATAAAGATACTCATGTTTTATTGGAAAATTGATCTTTTTTTTATAACTGATATCCAGTCAATGCACATATATTTTAAGTAATGCTTAGATTACAAATGATTCCCAAGCAGAAGAAAATATTAATTTTCTGCCACTAAGTGGCATGGTATTTTTCTTGCTTTCCTTAGGATTTGCACTCTTTCCACACAGATAATCTATATAGATTAATAACCAGTCAGATACATAAAGTAAGAAATGAGTAAGAATCAAGAAAAAGAAGCATTTAGTTCATGTCAACACATCCTAACTGTCTGTTATTCCTTATTCATATGAAGTAAAACCAATCACTAGGCATTTATGGTTTATGTGAAAGTTTAAAAAAGGGCACTAACAAAAGGCAAAAGCACAAGCATTACCAATCACATTCATTTTGTCTAAGATACATGTATGGGTATGCTGTCTGCAAAGCAGCATACATAAGGATGCTTGAAAAATATATCACTTTTATCAATACAAAACAAATTAATCAGTAAATATTTAAAATTTATGAGGCATTTCTATGTAAAAACAATTATGCTAAATAAGCTGATTCAGGCAGTTCTAGGAAAAGCTTTTACAGAAAAACTGCATTTACAATCTGCCTTAAAAACAAAGAGAAGATAGAACCAGTCCCAGCATTAGCTCAATTTAAAAAAGGGGAAAAAATGAAATCCCTCCTCAGCTTAATAACTTGTTAGTTCTTGACAAGTGCAACAACACAACAATAAGCCAGTCAAAATGAGTTTTTAAAGCGAGGTTATGCCCTTCATGTTGTGTTATCACAGTGGCAGATCAAACTGCTGACTTGGACTCTTTCTGCCAGCAGTGCTGATGCTGCCTCTATGAAGCTGCTGTCGTGGAATAGTCATGGTACCTGCTCTTGCCTATAGAAAAGCACTAAATTGAACTCGAAGTAGTGTCTTTGTGATATCTTTTCAACAAGTCATGTCCCATTCAGCCTGCTAGTTTATCTCTGTCAGGCTGGGGGCCCAAGTGGTTTGCATGAGCTGTCAGGGACAGGTATACCAACCTGCTCAGTGCTAAGGAGGTAATGCATCTTTCGGGCTTTGTATTTCTTTTCCTTTTCTTTCCTTTCTAGGTCTTTCTTCTTCTTTTCCTTTTCATTCATTTCTGCATACTCTTGGAGCTCATTCCTGTAATAAAATAAATTTATCAATCATGTGGTGATAATAAAGGACCTGGACATGTTTTATTTTACTTTAACCCTTTTATAGCCTCATGGTGTTTTGCTATTAACTATTAGCAATGTACTGCAACAGTAGCATGGAAAATTACAGTTCATCGAGTTCCACAGCAGCAGGATCTACATGGAGATATCTGTGAAGAAAACAGATTAAAATGCCAAAACCAGTATATTAGTTCATATTGTTTAGTTATTACTTTGAAGAAGATGTCAATGCTCATTTTAATAGTTTGATAAAATAAAATTTATAGATATTTTGCTTTCAGAATAATTCTCGTTTGACTTTTATTTATAACTAGAATTTAATTTATTAATGTTCCCTCAGTCTCAAAACTGAAGCTGTTCACTTAAGTTTCGATTAGTGCTTTGTGACGTCTCCTTCTGATCTGCAAACTTATGACATGAAAAAGCATAGTAAGCAGAGGATAAGAGTTGATATTTTATCCTAGACCTTTGAGCCTTTTGTAAAATTGAGCACTTATGCATAGAGAACTGGATATAACCTTCTTATGCAGCAGTGTCTTTAAAAAGAGGAGTTTCCATAGCATTAAGTTTCTTGCACAGGTCACTTTATACTCTAGTCTGATAGCAATGGTACAGGCCACAAGAAAAAAAATATAACTGTCTCATGAGACAGTGTATGAAAGAAGTTTGCAAACATAGTGTCAACTAAAGGACATAGTCAATAGGTTATAGGACATTGTTTCATTGTAAAAGAACTGTACCTAATACTGGCAGAGAATGGAGAGAACTCATGATTCCAAATGAACATTTACAAAAGAAAATGGCCATTGATTCCACCGCCATGGCTTCTTTCATAGAATGAAGTTTCTCATAAATTATGCAAACGGTGAAGAGAATGAGTGCTCTCTAAGAAACAAAATTGTGTGCTACTGTGCACAGTACACAAGTATGGATTTTTGACCCAGGTAAAAAAGATTAGTTTGATTAACATTTGTTACATTTGTTATTAAGAAATAGCTAGTTCAAATTAATTGGCATGCCAAAGACACCAAATATATTCAGTCAACCATTTAGATTGTTTTAAAGTTAATTAGGTGAGTAAATTCTATTTGTTGGTTCTTTTTTAAGCATTTGAGTACATGGTAAAAAAAAAAAAAAAAGAAAAGAAAAAAAAGAAAAGTACACCATCAATATTTATCCATTATTTATAATATTTAACCAGATATTAATGTACCTGGATTATTCAAATGTTCCAGCAAAACATATTTAGAGAGGCCCACATTAATGGTCTCACTTGTGTCAGTGGATACTAAATAAGATACAACAGGACAAAATCCAAATCCTGTCACATGCGAAGAAGTTTGCTACTATGAACAATTCTTCTGGAACATCATATTACTTCTGAAAGTATGTTTAAGATTGTGCATCCGATCTATTCTTAATATTTGAACTATCATAACATTAAAAAGGTTCATCAACATATGCGAATGAATGAATTATTAAAAAGAAATTGCAGCATCGAATTGTTACTTATTTCATGCTATCTTTCAAATTTTTATCAACTACAGTAAGTAAAAAATTAACTATTTACACATTTTATTTCAAATGTAACAGAAAAAATAAAATGGAAAGGAAATAAATTAAAGATCAGAAAAGATGTATAGGTCTCTTTCAAACTCTGGAAATATTTTTTGTTGCAGTTTACTGTTAAAGGCTTCTAATACAATATTTCATACAAGGTTACTTATGAAGCACACTGACGTTTAAAAATCACCATGCTATGCTTTTTCAGCAGTGTAATTTTTTTCCAACATAAGATTAAATTGCAAAATAAATGAATTACTTAGAGTGGCATGGCCCCCATTTTGCCACCCTTCTCTTGAAAATTGCTTATTAATATGAAAAAAGAAGTTGGAAAATAGCCTGTTTTACTTTATGCATAGTGTTTCGGGGCCTCAAAGCCTGCAAAGCCAGACTAGCTGCACATTTTAGATTGTGTTGGCAAGCGGGTACGATGACCTTTCTGACCTGCATCTCAAGGCTATTATTAATCGCTAAGTAACCTGGTAAAGCCAAACAAATTTGTTTCCATTGAAAGGATCTCTATCTGTGTCTGAGAATTTGTGCTGTACCAAACAAACCTCATTAACTGTGTCCATTTTTGACAAAGAACTAGGAGTTGGAGAGATTGGCGACCTTTCTTTGTCCTTAAGGTGCAGATTTCAGAGTCACTGCCTATAGGTACATAAGCATTTTTACTTGGATACTCTTTGTTCTATATCAATCAATCGAAATAAATGGATTAATAAAAAATGCATATAGTATCACTTAAAAAAAAATTGCCATTTTACTTTCAGTATCAGACCATATAATCTGTTTTACTTATTTAATACTATTTCTTTTTTTTTTTATGACAGTCAACCATTCAGCATCAACACATTACTGGTGCTATTCATGTTCTTAGATACTTATGTACTTATTTCAAAAGAAGCCCTGTTATTTAGAATGTGTGCTACAGATGTAGTAATAATGGGATGTAAAATGTTTTCCATTGTCATTAAAATGAATTTACCAGAGTATTTTCAGGGAATATTTAATAGTCAGCATGTGATGAAATTAAAAAGAAATCAAAAATAAAAAAATAATACTAATTCGAAATAAAAAAAAAAATTAAAAAATAATTGTAGAAATTCAACAAAATTCATGATCTTTTTAGATAGTACTATAATTCAAAGTATTAAGATACTTTCAGGATAATCATGTCTTCATTAACACGGTGCCAGAAATCTTTCCAAAGTTTGCTTTTTTTTAGCTTATAGTTACAAATAATCTTCAGTATACATTTGCAGCCTACACATCTTGTTTGTTGTGCTATAATATTTCTATCACCCATAATACCGCTGTGTACAGTTGTACAGAATATACAGACAATAGTGACTGGAGAATGGGAGCTCCCAGGATGATTCTCTTCTAAGGGGCAACAGAAAATAGCACTGTATTTTCAAAGAATTTGAATAGGAGCAACAAAATCAAGAAAACAATAAGTGATAGGATATGAATATACTATTTCATATGTGAGCAGTTCAAGAACAACACATTATTCACTGTGCAGTGGGTTTCACTGTTACCGCACAGAAAAAGGTATATAAGCATAAGTGATACTAAAGACATAAATCTAGACTTCCAAACAGAGTTAGAGTTAAATCTTAAAGGTTCAAAGAGAATAAATTCAAAGTCCATTACAGTCAATAGAAAATTCCATGAAATTAGATGATCTTTGGATTAAACCGATCTTTCTCTTTGTTCATATATAACTCAAGTTCAATCAGTGATAATAAACAATGCTTTCTTGGGACTATCTGATATTAGGAATACTAGCTACCATGCTTGATCAATAACTTTATCCTTTCAGACTCTGAATGCAATTTGTTTCAGGATAAACTTTTCATGGTTCAAGGAGGAGAACTGAATATGGAAAAATACTTTGGCTTGCATCAAATTTGTTGAGAGAAAAAGGGTTCTGTAAATGTATAACATGTTCTAGGTTAATTAGTAATCTTGTTTTGCTTTTGCAAATAATCTGTCTTTTACATGGTTCATAGTTGGAATAATTAAACTAACTTATAAGTAAAAAAATTGGTAATTTTTTAACATAATTTTCTCATTGTCTTAAAGCATATCTAAGTTTTTTAACGTCATCTACTGTATCTTCCTACAAACCTGGCTTCTCCTGTCTGCCTATTTTAACTAGAGTTTCTATCAAACTGATTTTTATATAATACCATTTTAAAGGAAATATGTATAAGTTTTGACAAATATAGTGCTTTCTCATTACTTGAAAAAAGTCCAAAGAATATCAGTGTTAATTAGCACAACCTTACCATGCATTTTTTTGCTTAAAAAGTGAATATGTAGGTAATATAAAGTGCATTTTCTTTGTAATACAGAATACTCCAAGTAATTGAAATCAAGCATAGCATTATCAATGTAGGTGTGCAAAGAAAACAAATAAAAATGATCTCATGTAAGAAATCTGTAAAGTAGCTATTGATTTGTTAATGACAAAATTATTTGCTTTATATAGTTTGACAATAAAACATTTTCATATGACAAGGTAACATTGTTATTCTGATACTTCATTATGCAGTAGGCAGCAGTGCTGGTTCCAGCTATGAGATGCAAATTTGGTTGACAGTACTCCTGCTGTCTGTATAAAGGTTAAAAATACACACATAATATTGTTCCCGGCACTTTTGGAAAGGTCTTGAAGTGATGATTTCAGCAGTATACAGATTTTCATAATTCTGCAGAGAACTGCAACATTTTACAAATTCACACTGACCTACATTTATTAACTTCATCAAACAATTACATTCCGTTTGCACTTCCACTTAAATTCGGTGATCCTTTGATGAGATAGACATAATAAAATTGTAATATTTATTAAACAAAAGAGAATCCAGGAAAATCAATAGTTGATCAATAGTACTCAGAGTATAAAGTTATTGTGAATTTAAATAGTTCAGACTCCAAATCATAAAATTCCAGGAAAATAGCAGTAGGCAATCTTAGCATAAAAGGAGAAAAACTAAATCAATTTTACTTTCCTGACTATCTATCATCCTCCCTCCTCAAACAGAGAGTATGGAACTGAAAATGAAATTAGTGGGACAACACTTCTGGTACACAACTGCATGCCACTTGATTTCACATTACACTGGTGTATATGAGAATACAGTGTGACTTGTTGTGATAATATGATTTTACTTTTACCTATTATACTTGGTTAAAAAATGAGGCCTATATAGAGAGAGCAGTCCAGGATGTACAAGTAGTTTATAGAGAGGGCTATAGTTTAAAGACAGAACTTTAACAGAACATACACACTACTCTTGCATTAGCTGTGTCAGACAGCTTCATCATCCTCAGCCTAGGTCAGAATACCTGAATGAATCTGTTCAGATTTACTGAGCAAACAGAAAGGCT